CCCCATCAAGATCACGTCAAGTGTCAAGGCGACCTCAGCGAAGGTCTCTCTAATCGCCGCCTGATTGCCATAGTTATCACAAACACGACGCATAGCTTTACGACGCCTCGCTATCTCGAACAGTAGCCACTTAAAACGTGTCTACTACGCCTCGACTCGGCGCAAAAGGGCGCGCCTGTCCGCCCCGTGCCCCCGCTGGAAGAAAGCCGCGTATGAAGAAGACGAGGCACCTCGCTGCATGACCCGACGTAACTGTCCTGTCACTTTGTTGCGGGGCTGTGGATGGACTCGTAACTCATCATTATTGCCGATATTCTTCCGCTCCCCGTGGTTGTTTTTTTACACCTCCGCGGATAGTTTATGGCGCCTGCGCGGGATGAGAGAGATGCGCGCGCTGAGAGCCGCCGGGAGAGCGGGGAGAGAGAGAGAGGGAGGGGGCAGATGGGAGAGACCGCAGCCAGGCGCGCCGCTCTAAGCCTTTATTGTGTTGTTCCAGGTGTGTCTGGCCCTTGCGGTGGGGCTGGTCGGCGCCTGGAGCGAGCCCAGATCGCACTACAAACGTGACGGTAAGTACGGGGGCGCCCAGAGCGTCCTATTCCGTTTTATGCGCGATCCGAGAACGGCCCCCGGACTCGACACTAAATCAGAATGTCAAGAGGTCGTCGTCAGCAGACCACAACCGACACGAAAAAGAAAACACCCGTTTCCGCCTGACCAGGGCCCTGGACGACGACTGCAATAATTGAAACGCTCCTTTGAAACATCGTATACGCTCTGCATGTCGCTAACGTCACGTCAGTTGTTCAATCCATTTTCCCACCGTCGTGTGGGGGTTTCCAGTTTCCGAGCTACTTGGCAAAGGTTACCAACGCCACTCTCAGTCCAGAAGCCCCCCGGTCAACGATCTAGTCAGAGAATACAGGGAGGCGATCAAGCCGTACCAAGGTATAGTGCCGCAGGGCCGCATGCCAGCATGGCCTCTAATCACGCATCATCTCAGAAAACCATTCAGCGCCCCGGGTTCAGTCACCTTTCATTATCAAAGTGTGACCGGCAAAACGTGTGCCATTGCGTCCCTGGGGAGCATGCGGCCATCTCCTCAGGAGACGGCCCACCCGTAACACAGTCACGTCTAACACCGTACCATATCATTATTCGCTCCATTCCATATATCTCTAACCCACAAAGATGCACCGACCGTCAGAGGAAAATTCGCTAGAGCATGGATGGACCCAGAGAGCACAAACGACACTACTTGTATAACATCTAACGAAGAATGTGCATGTCGTACTAACCGTCGCTATCATAGGTCCCAAGTGACTTTGTCATAATAACAAATAATAAAACAAAGCGCTGAAAACGTAGACATGAAGAAGTTTAGGGCTTTTCAAACCCTGTGGTCAGGGTCGTGTGCGTGTGCGGTGCGGGCAGGGGTGTCAAGCACGCTGAGGCTCTATGTAACGCCAAATGCCAAAGACGGCGCGAGCGCGAGCAGTGCACCTTGGCTGAGCAACTTGCCTCCCCCTCCCCCCTCCTCTCCTCATGCCCCTGCTCCTTTCCCCCCTTGCTCACACGCCCACGCCAGCCAGGCGGTGCATCAAAGCAGGCGTCTCGCCGACCGACGCGTCGTCGTCTGCTGGAGACTTTTTCCACCTTCGTCTGCTAGAGACTTTTTTTTCTACCAGATAGTAAGCAGCTGAGGCTTCGCGACAAGTCATTGTCGCATCTAGAGCGGATGCCACATAGTGCCAGCGCGCGCCACCCGGCTGCGGCACAAGCGCACCAGGCCGCTAAATGTAAATTAGATGCAGGCGAATTTAGTGCGCCCCCACCCCCTTTTTCCTTTCCCGGCTAAACTAGTTATAAGACGATTAAACTATTTTCCTGTCATTTAGCGTGCAGGTCGGCCCTCGGACTCAGGAACAAGTCTTATCATAGTCTTACGTAGTCTTATGAAAATGGCTTTCTAAGTTTGCTATGTCATTAGTATAAATTTCTCGCTCGATCTGGGTGAGAAACGTGAATCTTATGTTTGCAGTAAATAAGTGAATGCATCTTTGCGCTCGCTCCTTCTACCCCACTCCTCTTGTCGGCCCCTCCCTCCTCTGAGGACACAAACCAACTGGTTATTCGCAGACTTTCAAGAAGCGAGGCGGAAAGAGCGCGGGGGTCTCTGTGAATAAAAAGGAGAAGCTTGGAAAGGAGCCCGCGGGAACTTTTTCCGTCTACCTCAGGGTTTGCTCGCTTGTTTGATAAAATTGGGCATTAATGGCGGGAGGTAAGCCGACGCTGCGCAGTTCCATGCCCCACCAGCCCTCGGGGAGAGCAGCTGATTTTACCGGGGGCGGCCGAGGCACCGCGGTCACGTTACGTGTCCCGCATATGTGTGTGTGTGGGGGGGGGGGAGGGGGAGTATGAAATGCCATATCGCTCAAAGCCTACAGCTACGAACTATCAAACTTGGCAAATGGGCCGCAAACCGTTACCGTTACCTGTGTGTACAGTCTAGCTAAGTGCTTGCATTGGGACTGGTATCGCGGTAAAAACAATGTATGTTTTTTTATGAGGAAAGGGGGAAAGTTTTGATTAACTTTCATAATTAGAGAGAATCTCCTACGATTTAAAGGAAGTACCCTCAAGAAAATTAGTTTCCTCGTACTAAAAGTGTTTTTTTCCTTTTTCCTGAGAAAATTAGACATCATTGTCTTTACCGGTCTTTACCGGTCTTTACCGTAAAGGTCAGTCACGTCATAAATTTTATTACAATTTGCTTAGCCTCGCCTACCTAAATAGAACCGGAACATTCCTAGGTCGAGACCGGCTACCGTCACACGCACTCGCACATAACTCTGTGCGGCGCGCAACAGTCTCGCCAGAGCAAATTAGGAATCAGGCCTGGTCCGGTGCGCTCCAGATGACAATGGCGCTGCAACAATGACGGAGACGGACGAGCGGAAGGAGGCAAGGTATGGACAAGAATGGATATGTTGTCCCTCGCTCGGCGCGCTGCATCTTACCGCAGTGGCCCGCGCATTCTCCTCTGTTAAACGATAAAGCAGACCGCTGCTTTACTGAGGTGGACGCAGGCAAATAGTAAGCACACTCCCAACAAAATTTGCCCGCCAAACAACTGTTCGTTTAGGAGGAGAAAATGTTTATTTCTAGCACGTTTCGTAAAACTTTTAAAGCCGCTTTACTTGATCGCATAGCATATTTAGTGTCTAATTTTGGCCACAAAACAAATATTGGGCGTTTGCTTTGCCAGGCAGAGACAGCAAGTCCGCGGAAGGAGACCGACCGTGAGCCTGCGCTGATCTAAGAAACGGATCCGCGCGCACGGGACGGCGGAAGGCAGAGCCGTACGTCATGCCCGCCGGTGACAATGCGCGCTGCATGCGGACAGGGCATCGATAGGGCGGCAGCGCGCCTTATGCTCTCGCCAGAGCGGCCAGCGTCCAGCGCGGACCAGCGCGCACACAACGCAATGTGACGGAAAATATGCAAAGCGGAGTCGTGTGCAACACGGCCCGGCCCGGCTCGACGAGTGGCGACGCGGGAACACTTCCGGCCCTGAGCGGCGCCCACAGCCGGGCCTCGGCAGCAACAAGGAGCCCACAATTAGTGTGGCGCGCGCACACGTCGGTCCTCGCGCGCCCCGACAAAGCTTTGTTGTTTGCAGCATTGCATCAGAGAATTTTATATTTTGCAACAGAATAAAAAATCCCATCACACTATTTATTTTTGCGAGGGGAATAACCCGTTTTGGTGCAAGATAATGTTGACGAATTTGACAATCAAAGAGTTAGCTCCGGGATAAAGCATGGTCGCCGATCTTATTCTTATTTTGAATGTATGGGTTGGTCTATTTGCGAATTTGTTTTACAAATTTCCCAAAGTGTGTTGAAATGAAATCTAAAAATTACAAAAGTAAAATTTCCATACTAGACCTACTTGCGGTAAAATTTTTAAACAGTGATGATTGTCTGTTCCCTTTGCAAGACAGAATCAATAGAATCAGTTTTTATTATAACGGGCGTAACTGTGAATACGCAGCAGAGCTGCGGGTTTGCCTACTCATTACACCCGTAAGGGACCAAGGCCCCTCAGGCCATAAAGAGTGTGCAATCCCGTAGCAATGCTGCGTATTCACAGTTACAACCGGTACTAAAGATACAAACAGCTAAAAGTGCGATGCGATATATAACATTCCAAATGATAAGCAAGCCACACCTGCCAGAAAAGGTGGTTTTGGACATTGCATATTTCTCCACATTACGTATTTCCACGCATGGGCCGCGCTGCTGGGCTGGGCCGATATAGGAGAGGGGATGCGATATGCATGCGGCTCTACCTGTGAGCCGCGAAATAAATTAGAGGAAAGAGTTTTGCCTCGCACGTATGAGCAAACATCCCCGAGCGTTCGCGAGCGAGAAGTTAAAATATAAAGTATCGTCATTAACACGGCCCGCGCTAAATCCACCGCACCTGGGCTTGGAAAAGGGGAGGGGGGGGGCTTTGCAGACCATGAATTATTCTCTCACAAAATTCGGAAGACGAGCGGCGCGTTTGCCTATTGTTCCGCCAACCAACTGGCGCAGCCGCTGCGCTCGGCACTCCCGCCTCGTGCAACGAGACCGAGAGACCGAGACTAGTGAGAGGCCTACTCGGCGGCAATCAAACAGTGTTCACAAAAGTGGATGAAAAATGCCTCGAGTTGCATCTTCACTTGAGAAATGCAGAAAACAGCGCTGCGGGATGCTGGCATAGCACGGCGGCGTTTTCACTTTGTTTCGCTGGACCCCATGGCTTTTCAGTAAACATTGTCCGAAAACTGTGAACAAGTAGTTTGCGGCAGAGATGGCAGTCCTCTGAGTGGAACGACCCTCTCCCTTCCCCTTACCTAGACGCACACACCACCACCCCACCGAAGTGAAACTGTGATGTGATAACTGAATCACGTGACCATCCGCTGGCCCTGGGGAAGTCCCATACTCCCGTGCGCTGCGTGTCGACCTCTCCCATCCCACTCACCTCCAAAAAAAGCCACAAATCGCCTCTATTGTGATCATCACCAACCAGAAACTTTCACTGGCTTCATGAAATAATCGTGCACATTTGTCGATATATGGGAGGCAAACCCTTGTCCGCGCAACCAGTTGCATGGTCCCCCTGGCCCCGGCTGGAGGAGGTGCGGCTGCCTTTCGAAATTGTAGTGAAGAAACGCGACCATCACCATCGATACCTGCCCCCCTCCCCCCTCCCCTTTCCCTCCGTTTCTGCGTGCGGCGCTCGCCACGTACGAGTGCATCTCATGCATAAACGCATCGCGAGCATTAGCGCGCTGACGGCGAGTGGAGGGGGGAGGGGGGAGGCGACATCGGGCTCGTCCGCTCGTGCTCCCCGGCCCGCGGTCCGCGGCCCTGCGACGCGGCGGCGCGTTCGGCAACTCCCACGCGCCCCGCGAGGCGGGCGCCCGCCACAACACCGCAGGCCCCGGCGCGGAGCGGCGCACGGACAGACAGGCGTGCGCAGCCGGAAATGTGCCACTTCCTAAACCTGCGGCGGGTGCGGGTGCGGGCCGGGCCGGGAGCAGCAGCGCGCCTCTGTGTGCCCCCGCCCGCCCCGCCCGCCCCGACGAGTTGCGTTAGCGCGTCATGTCTCATTCATCATAGGACCGGAGCAACGGTGCGGTTCGGGGGATGTCGGAGGTGGAAAGGGGGGTGGGGGTAGGGGGCCTTTGATATTTCATTTCAAGCCAATTCGCAACATAGGGCGTCCTCAGATCCGAAAAAAAACATCACTTTCAACGCCTTTCGCCTTCCTACCATGCCCTCTGCCAAACAACCCCCCCTTCGCCAGCCACCACGGCTTTGACGCCCACCAGTCTAGCAGCCTGGAATGATTAAAGCGCTTGTACGTGCCAGGAGTCACGCCACGCTCCGCACTGTGGAGTACTGGTGGCTGGCCTGGACGGTGGGACGCTGCTCCTCTCGGTGGGCTTGGGCTAGGTCGGGTTGGGTTGACTGTTGGGTTGGGACCTGTCCACTAAAGTTGCCGCACGGCATTCAAGTTTGAGTTGGAGTCACCCAGTCACCCAGGGGGGAGGGGTCACTGTATAGGAACAAAGTGTTGGCCACCACTTTTCCAAGTAAACTTCTACAAATTATCCATTTGTATGAAACAATAAAATTATATGATATGCATCACATGATCCCTATTGTGTGCATTATCAGGAGAGAGGACTCCTTTTAGATACATCCAAAAAAAATTGTTTTTAAATCAATGCAGGGAACTGTCTTGCATTTTGTTTAGAGCCACGACGCGCTTCTAAGAAATTTGGGAACAATGCGCTTGAAATCTCAAGAAGTACCATGTTTTGAGGCACGTAAGCCCCGACCCTTATATTTGGCAGATAAAAACTATTTCCAAAAAAATGACTGCCTAGAGACTAATCAGGTTCCCCCATAGTAATTTACTAGTTTACAATGTGACCAAACTGATAGGGGCACTCAGAATTCATGACGTTTCAAAAGGTGACGTCTAACAGTAAGTTTATAAAGCCGCAAACAAAAGCAAAATTAATTTCATGTTTTCTCGTGGAATATTTTGAATTTAAATATTTCTATCATACCTTACTTGAGCAGACTGATGATGCTGATGTAGAGAAGTATCCACCAACCAGTTCTTGTTCAAATTTTGTTGATTAACTTGAAAATAACTTGTGGCTTGCCTCATAGTAAAACATTTATTTAACTCCTCACTCTTGATAATGTTCACTGTACTGGTCATTTCAAAATGTACGGGTCTAGGTGAAAATATGACTTAAACAAATGTATGTTTAAAGGTTAGTCGGAACAGGAAGTTCTTCTTTAAATTTCGAATATACTAAAGAAACACAGTAAACGTGGATTTCAAAATGATAATTACTTAGACTCGAACACGAAACTAACAAGAGAAACCGAGAGAAACAAAACTAAACTACGACAAAACTAATGCTGCTAATGCGACGTTGAGCCGTGCCCGACGGCCGGTGGCCTGGCCGGATGACCGAAGTCGGCGCAGCGTGCTCAACAGACACAACAGACCGATGCGCCCGCCAACTACAGGCAGCGACAGCGATTAAGTTCATAACTTAACTTGCCTTCTTTAAATAGCTCTAAGTGACGCATAGGTGTACAACTGGTCCCGATTAAAGTGTATCACACGCTTACTGCAACGACCTCAGAAAAGCAAATTTGACCCACCCGACCTTGCTTTGAGGGAAAGATCTGAAGTCGAGCCTCTGAAGGACAGAAAATTGCTCGCTCTGGGATAGAAAGGGAACCAGCCCAGGAGGAAGGGAGGGGGGAGGGGAGGCGGCTGGACCAGGTCACGGGGCCAGCGCCTCCGTCGGCCCGCCACTCGCCAGCAGCCTCCTCGTGTGGCTATGTCCTGTCCTGCCCGCCCCGCTCTGATCGCGTGAGAAATCTAGCACTCTGGGTAAAAGTGGGCCTCTAGCGGCACAAAAGGGGGCTCCGGCGTCGTCTGGGCCGCGCGGTGGGCCGGAGGTCAGGGCGCGCGCGTCACGCAAGAAGGGGGGGGGGGGCAAGGGCGCACTTCATGTCGCCCATCACCATCACTCCCCATCGGGCCTACTCCTCCTCCTCCGACCTCTGCAGTCCACCCATACCTCTGGTTCGGAGCCTCCTCCAGCTCCACGCCCGGGGGCGGCGCTACCGCGGTGTGCCCGTCGTCGTGTTACTGATGATAGGTAACGCCAGCCACACTGCTAACCGTAAC